AGAGATGAGAATCAAGGACTCTTAGAATGTTGGTGGGGAAGCTCAAGTCCAGAGAGGGGCAGTAATGTGGAGCGCAGGCAGCCCCTGAGGTACAGAACACTGAAGTCTGAAGGCTTCTGCTATGGTATTAGGGGCTTTAGCAAGTGTCTTGGAAAGAACCCACAATGTAGAACTAGAAGATGAAGACTCAAGGCCCAGTTACGCTTGACCTTCCATGCGACCTGAACAAGTGATTTTTTCATCTGAACCTGGTTTCCGGCAGGAGATGGATAATATCTCCTACCTTGTCTATCTCATGGGATGGACAAGAAAATCAAATGAGTTGATAGATTTGGCAGTATCTTTCAGGTGGAATGTGCAATGCCATGCAAATAAAGCTTTTCTAAGCATATTAACACAGAGAGGGCCAAGGGTTTGGGTGTCTCCAGATCAAATCTCTGCCATCACTTTTTAATTCTCTTCAGTGTCAGTAAAGCACCAATGGGAAAAAATGTATAATTGGTCCAAGTTCTCTTTATTGGAAATCTTCTGTTCTGTGAAGCAAATTCGCTAAACACGTATTTGTTAAATGCCTACTACATAGCAGACACTGTTATAGCTATTAAGGCTCTATCATTAAACAAGACAGAGAAGGTGTCTGCAGTTAACGATATTGTTGGGCAGAATTCAAACATCAAATAAGTATGTAAGTTAACTAAGTTAGCTAATTACAAATAATCATCCTTGCTATGAAAAATATAAAACTGAGTCATGTGTGGAAAATAACTGGGAAGTGACTTCAGGTGGATGGTATAACCAGGACTCTATGGTAAGGTGACATTTGAGAAGTCCCGAGAAGTCATGAGAGTAAAAAAAGGGTAGGGTGGAGGGAAAGACACTTTAGGGCCTAAAGTTTAGGTAGAGGGAAAACCTGATTGAAAGGGCCTGATTTTTCAATGATCAACAGCGGGAGGAAGACCAGTGTTGCTGGGGGAGCAAGCAAGGGAGATGAGGCCTAAAAGGTAAATGGATGCTGGCTCTCATAGGACCATGAAGGAGTTCAGAATTATTTCAAGGTGAGACAGGAATACCATAGTCTTTTAAGAGGAGAGGGACATGTTCTAATTTTTGTTTTTTAAAAGATTAGTTTGGGTGCTTTGTAGAAAATGGATTATAGGGAGTCTAAGCAAAAACTGAAAAAGAAGTTGGGAGGTATAATGTGCTGAATGGTGTGTCCACTCAAACGTATTTCCACCGGGAACCTGAAAACATGACCTTATTTCAAAAAGGGTGTTTGCAGATGTAAATAAATTAAAGGTTTCAATATGAAATCATCCTGGACCTTAAATCCAATGACAGTCCTTATAATAGACAGAAGAGAAGACACACACAGAGAGGAGAAGGCCATGTGAGCACAACACCAGAGACTTGAGTGATGCAGCCACAAGCCAAAGAATCCTTAGAGCCACCAGAAGCTGGAAGAGGCAAGGAAAGACTCTCTCCTAGAGGCTTTGAAGAGAACAATGGCTTGCCAACACATTGACTTCAGAGAATAAATTTCTGTGGTTCCAAGCCACCCCATTTTGAGGTCATTTTTCACAGCAGTTGGAAAACGAATGCACGGGCTCCTGAGAGATACATAGAGCTTCAGACTTACATGGAATCATGTGTGCCCCCACTTGGAGATAACTTCTTTGCATTCAGCAGGGAAGGAACCAATTTCTTTGCTGTCTGAAGGATCATATAGAGGAAGCATTGTGTTCGCTTGACCTGACTCAGTTTAACAGCTACAAGATTTTCTATCACCTCATCCAGGTTGGATTGTGAACCTAGATGAAGAAAAGAGGAATAATATGAGGTATCACTCTTCCTTTCTGTGTTGCCTAGGGGCTGGAAAGTTTGTGGTTTAGAGTCCTCAAAACCCATGTTCAATCATGACATGGCCTCTATAGGATTGAGGCTAAATCACTCCCACATTTTTTAAATTAAAAATTGGGACTACACAGTACAGTCATGACTATCAAAGTTGATGAGGTATAATCGTGATAACCAAAATGTATCAAACAAGCCTATGCACTGCATGCCATAGGTTGTTGCTGCAATGGTTTTGAGAGGGTTGTATTTTCCTCACTACCCTGATTTTTCCTCCTGAAATGACTCTGAGCTTAACCATGAAACTTGCTTTAGCCAGTGCAACGATAGTAAATGTAATTTAACAAGAAGCTTGAAAAGAGATGGTGCACTGAGTCTTGCCCTCTCTTTATTTTTTACTTTCTTTTTCTTGCCTTCTCTTTCTGCCTTTGAAAACTCTGTGACTTCTATATATTGCCCAATCCATTTCCGCCAGCACAAGCAAAGCCAGCGATAGCCAGGCCTGGGGCGGTGTCTAACTAGTTCTACCAGCTCATAGACAAACCCCTGTGGATAGCAGCCGCATGGATGAATCTAGGGGGAGCTAGCCAAAGAATCACCCAGATGAGTCCCATCTAAATTGCTGCCTCATGCCTGACTGGCATGACTCAGTGGTTGAACCTATAACCAGGAGGTCACAGTTCTATTCCTGGTCTGGGTATATGCTCAGGTTGCAGGCTCTATCCCTAGTGGAGGTGTGCAAGAGTCAGACAATCAATGATTCTCATTCAACACATTCTCTCTCATCATTGATATTTCTGTCTCTCTCCCTCTCCTTTCCTCTCTGAAATAAATAAAAATATATTTTAAAATATAAATTGCTACCACACCAAATTGTGAGCTAATAAATTATTGCTGTTTTAAGTCATTGTTTCGGGATGGTTTGAAAACCAAATGATAAAACCAGACATAGAGGGTGCCAAGCACTTCTCATTCAATATCTGATTTAATCATTCAAAGGCTCTATATTTTAAATACTATCATAATCCGCACTTTACCCAGGAGGAAACTGATCCACAGACAGGTTGTTACTTGCTCTAGACTACATCCTCCTATATAATAGAGGTAATATGCAAATTAACCCTCACACCCTCACAAGACTGCTGCCTGCAGGGGAGTTAGTGAGGGACAACCAAATAACTGAATAGCAGGCTGTGTGGGGCGACCAGGCCAGTGCGGGGAGGGGCATGAGGGGTGATCAGACTGGTGGGGGGATGCAGTTGGGGGCAACCAGGCCAGTGGTAGGGAGCAGTTAGAAGCAACCAGGCCAGCAAGGAGGAAGCAATTGGGGGCAACCTGGCTGGCAGCAGGGGGCAGTTAGTGGAAATCAGGCTGGCATGCAGAGGCAGTGAGGGGTGATCAGGCTGGTGGGGGGGGGTAGTTAGGGGCAACCAAGCAGACAGGCAGGTGAGTGATTAGGAACCAGCAGTCTAGGATTGTGAGAGGGATGTCCAACTGCCAGTATAGGCACAATCTCCGGGATTGGGCCTAAACCGGCAGATGGACATCCCCCAAGGGGTCCCGGATTGGAGAGAGTGCAGGCTGGGCTGAGGGGACACTCCCCCATGCACAAATTTTGTGCACCGGGCCTCTAGTAACTAATAACTAATGGGGCTTGAAGTAAAGATATATGGAATGTAGGGGTGTTATTCAAAATGAAAAGTGTATAGACATGGAAAATCCCAGCAACTGGAACACATTCCAATCCCCTTACTTTGAATCTGCAAATGTTGTTTCCAGTTTATGACTTCTGGTGAGCCAAGGAATTCATGACAGTTCTTGGGGTCCTTGGAATAGATTTGGTAAGTATTGGTGTAGTGATCAAGGTCATCTACCATCTCCTGTTTGGTTTGGGAAAAGTAGAATCAACAAAAATAATTGTAGTTTGTGATTGCCATACATGGTTGTCAGTGTTCCATTATACTATGGTATTTTTAAGTACTAAAATATTAGGTTTTCCTGTTGGTGTATTACCTTTATTGAAGAATGATTTATATTATTAGGTCAACTCAAGCACTTCCTTATTCAACTAACAATAAAAATATCCTGGATAAACTATTTCTAAATCAACTATTACTATAAAATTTCAAACAGAAATGATCCATTTAGAATTTAACATTTATTTCAAAAAGCACAGGAGAGTCAGACTTCTAGTAAAATGTCTTTTGTACAAGTTTATTCTCTTGTAGTAAATGTGCTAACTCCAATGGCTTCAGTAGAAAACAATAGCAAAACCCCTCCCAAAGCAAAGATACTTTGTGTTCCCTTCTTGTGATTTTTAAAACCAATCAGAATAGGGAAATAATCATATTGTATCAAGCTATGCAAATTCTTAGGAACAGGCAGATACAATGGTCAGATATTTCTAAACATCAATAATGATTTTCTTTCTTTTTTTGCTTTTTTTTTTTTCAGAAAGGCATATTACTTTTTTAAAAAATATATATTTTATTATTATTTTTTTTTATAGAGTGGAAGGAATAGGGATAATTAGAAACATCAAAGAGAGAGAAACCTCAATCAGCTGCCTCCTGCACAGCCCCTACTGGGGATGTGCCCACAACCAAGGTATATGCCCTTGACCGGAATTGAACCTGGGACCCTTCAGTCCGCAGACCGATGCTTTATCCACTGAGCCAAACCAGTTAGGGCAAATATATTTTATTGATTTTCTTTTTACAAAGAGGAAGGGAGAGGGATAGAGAATTAGAAACATCGATGAGAGAGAAATATCGATCAGCTGCCTCCTGCACTGGGGATGTGCCTGCAACCAAGGTACATGCCCTTGACTGGAATCGAACCTGGGACCCTTGAGTCCACAGGCTTTATCCACTGAGCCAAACTGGTTAGGGCATCAGAAAGGCCAATTACTTCTTTAATAGATCAGTTTTTGACATAATAACTTACTCAATTTTTTTTTTTTTAATTTCACCCAGAATATTTATTTGGTGTGAAATAAGAAAATGAACCCTTTTCTATATGTTGAAGCAAAAATAACTTACTCAATTTTAAATACTATCACATAAAGCATGGTGGAGAAAAGAAATTTTGCTTCATAATTAGAAACTCACACTAAAACTTGCCAAGAACAAAAACAAACCAAAGAACTAAAGCCATTTGAAAATAAATACAGTCCATGCCAAAGTAGTATAAAGTGAAGCCAGAAGTCTTCAAAAAGAAAACACTTTTCTTGCCAATATTTTCTTATTTTTTAATGTTTTCTGAAATTGGAGACTTTCAAATTCAAGGGTTGCTGAGCTGTTCTGATTTGGCTCCTTTGGTATCTGTTTTTTCATCACTATTATCCTTGGATTTATCTTCTTCCTTAACATCAGCTTTTTTGTCTTCTGTTTCCGTCTTGTCTTCCTCAATTCTAGCTTTCTTTGCTCCTTTCTTATGATCAGCCACATTTCTACGACCTCCTTCTCCTTCATCCTCTGAATCTGAGAATTCTTCATCACAAGCTATCCGTTTGTCTGATGCTCGAATAGAAATTCTCCTGTCTGGGTCTTCTCCATCGTCATCTCCACTGTCTTCATGAACAGCATCTTCTGGAATAGCTTGCATTTGGACACCAGGTGCATGAGGCAGCATGCGTAAATTTTCAAATAAACGCTCTTTTATCTTTTCCATATATTCTGGAGTGTTCTGGTTTGTCATATTTGAAGGACAAATATGCAGTTTGAAGTCTGGTCCAAAATACTCCAAGTAATCATTATATGGCAATTCATTAGGAATCTCACAATCAAGGGCAACTGCAGTCTCATATGTCCAACAGCGAGCAACGTTACGAATTGTGTATCCACCTCCCCCAAGCATCAGTAATGGTAAATGGAAAGTTTTTACAACTTCTACACATTTAGCATGACCTTTGACTGTCAGATTGAAGCAACCAAGTCTATCACCAGATAGCGAGTCTGCACCACACTGTAGCACCACGGCACTAGGTTGATACATCCCCATCACTTTTGAGATGACAGGCTTAAATATTTGCCCATAAGATTCATCATCTATACCCTCTCTCATTGGAAAATTGACAGCATAATATTTGCCTTTTCCTGCACCAATATCCCTCAAGTCTCCTGTTCCAGGAAAGCATTCCCCGTATTTATGGAATGATACAGTCATTACACGATCTGTTGTATAAAAAGCTTCTTCAACACCATCACCGTGATGGATATCAATATCAATATATAAGACTCTCTGGTGATACTTTAGTAATTCAAGGATGGCAAGCACAATATCATTAACATAACAAAATCCTGATGCTTCTGATTTCTTAGCATGATGCAATCCTCCAGCCCAATTAACAGCCATATCAGTTTGTTGTCGGTTTAACCTCACAGCTCCAGCAACTGAGCCACCAGTTGAGAGCTGACAAAACTCAAAGAGTCCATCAAACGCTGGACAATCTTCTCCAACATTAAATCTCTGCATCTGCTTACTATACTCAGACATGTTATCTGGTCTTATTGAACGTAGAAATTTGATGTACTCATCACTGTGGTATTTTGTCATTTCTTCAGCAGTGGCTTTATGGGGCCTATATATTTCCATTTTTCTATATAAGCCATAATTTAGCATCAAGTTATGGGTCATGCGGATTCTATGAGGTTTCATAGGATGGCCTTGTCCATAGTAATAGTTTCCAATATCACCATCGTAGTAGTAGCAGGCTTTCTTTTTGCCGCCTTCCTGACTGTACGCCATGGGCTCCCCGGCCACCGCGGCTCCGGCTCCGCGGGGAGAGAAAAGGGCTGTGGCTTAAGTGGGGGAGGCCGACTCAGGCGGGAGGACGAGCCCAAGTGAGGAGAGGGTGCCGGAAGGGCTCCGTACAGCCAGGCGGAGGGGCCGAGAGCGCGGAGCGGGGGCGGCCGCGGTGCCAACTCCAGAAATGTATTTTTTAAACTTACAGAATGGTATTGTTGGGGTCCAGCATCAGCAGGTCGAGGGGTTCCCAAAGGTGTGGACGGAGTCAGCGTTCAGTTGATCAGCATAGCGAGGTTCTCTAGCCAGGTTCTGTTCTTATTGTCCTGTTACATCCATATTTATACCAGTTGATTTTAATCCTACCCATTCTATTCCAAAGGTTAGGGTGTTTGTTAATCTAGTTCTGTTGAGTTTAATCCTAACAATTCTATTCCAAAGGTTAGGGCGTTTGTTAATCTAGTTCTGTTGAGTTTAATCCTAACAATTCTATTCCAAAGGTTAGGGTGTTTGTTAATCTAGTTCTGTTGAGTTTAATCCTACCCATTCTATTCCAAAGGTTAGGGTGTTTGTTAATCTAGTTCTGTTGAGTTTAATCCTAACAATTCTATTCCAAAGGTTAGGGCTTTTGTTAATCTAGTTCTGTTGAGTTTAATCCTAACAATTCTATTCCAAAGGTTAGGGCGTTTGTTAATCTAGTTCTGTTGAATTTAATCCTGTCTAGGTTAGTCTCTGTGTTCCATTATAAGGGCTATTCCAAGGTCACTGCTCTACTGATAAGCTACAAGGAAGTGACTGAAGGAGATTATCCTACCCAGTAAAGGTTATGTCCTCCCAGCCTCGCTGCTTGCCTTCCCTGGGACTGCCCTGTGTCGGTGGGTCTCCAGGGGTATAGGCTTTGGTGCTTTCCCTGGTGGGCAGACCCCTGGGGATGTGGGCCCAACAAGTCCCAAATTTATTGCCAACAGTCTTAGTCCAAGTTCTTCATAAGTAGTACATGGTATTTCTGTAACACTAGGGGGTTTCACTTCCTTAGTCCTGTTAATCCCTAACTCCAGAGAAAAAATCCTCACCTGGGGAAACAACCTTTCTTGGGGAGGTGGTCTTGTTTAAAACACATAGCGCTAAGAGGGGGAGCCTGAAACAGATGTATGTTTCCTTGATTGGAATCCAACTCACGACCCTTCAGTCTCTGGGTCAAGACTGTAATCATTGAGCCAAATCAGCTAGGGCAAGATTGGATTTTTTTTTCTTTTATTGTTTTATTACTTAAAGTATTACAAAGAGTATTACATATATCTCCCTTTTTTACCCGCCCTTGATAATCCCCTGGCCTCTCCTACCCCCCAGTGTCTTATGTCCATTGGTTATGCTTATATGAATGCATACAAGTCCTTTGGTTGATCTCTTACCCTCCCCTCCCCCCCCCCCAACCCTCCCCGGCCTTCCCGCTGTAGTTTGACAGTCTGTTCAAGGCTGCTCTGCCTCTATATCTATTTTTGTTCATAAGTTTATAATGGTCTTTATTATCCATAAATGAGTGAGATCATGTGGTATTTTTCCTTCATTGACTGGCTTATTTCACTTAGCATAATGCTCTCAAGTTCCATCCATGCCATTGCAAATGGTAAGAATTCCTTCTTTTTTACAGCAGCATAGTATTCCATCGTGTAGATGTACCACAGTTTTCTAATCCATTCATCTACTGATGGGCACTTAAGCTGTTTCCAGATCTTAGAAGATTGTATTTTTGACAGTTGCTCAAATAATATTTCTTATTCAGGTTTCTATCAATAATTCAAAGTCTTTATTTTTCAAATTATTTAATTTGGTGACATTTACAAGTAATAATGTTTAATATTAATAAATTTAGATTATTGCTTAATTTATTAAAATATAATTATATATTTTTTAGTTTTGAAATATTTTAACTATTTAATTTCATTAATTAAAAAAAATTATCACAATATATAACAACTCCAACCATGTCTTTTGCTTTTAAATTTCCCTAATTCACGATGATTTAGACCTTATGCCGCTAAATTGGTATTTTGTTTGCTTTGGATGAAGTCCTGCCTTGACCCTCTATAAAAAAATCTTATTTATCTTTAACATGCAGTTTTGGTAAATTTTTCTCCTTTCCCTGCAACCTCTACTATATATAGTTTTTTTTTAAATGCCCTATTTTATTGACTTTACTGATGGCAGTTGGTTACAATACCATGCAGCCTCTCAATGGGAAGACAGTATCACAAGAAGTTGTGAGTTAGCACTAGTGAGTTAACTAGTGGTGTGGTTTCAAGGTTGGTATTTTTAAAAGATAGGAAATAATTTTTCCCCATGGCTAAGAGTTAAAAGTGTTTGATTCAAAACAATAAAGATGTCGAGTCTGAGAAATGTTACTTTAATATCTTGAACAAAAGATCAGCTTTTGTCTATGTCCTCAACATAATCTTACATTACCAAAACCATCCATTGGGTGTCTCTCTTCCCATAAACTAAATGCAAGAAATAATGAAAGGTGCTTGGTCTTCAGCATCACCAGGATGCTGTTTGGGGTCCTGTCTTGAAAACAAATTAAAACAATGAATGAGTATGAAAATGTACCATATAGCCCAGCCGGTGTGGCTCAGTGGTTGAGCATTGACCTATGAACCAGGAGGTCATGGTTCCATTCCTAGTCAGGGCACATGCTCAGGTTGTGCAATCAATCCCCAGTGAAGGGCATACAAGAGGCAGTCAATCAATGATTCTCTCTTATCTTTGATGTTTCTATATCTCTCCCTCCCCCTTACTCTCTGAAATCAATAAAAATATATTAAAATATATAGTTTTAATCAGCTTTCCACATGTGTTACTTCTTTTTTAAGTTTATTTTTCAATTACAGTTGATATTCAATATTATTTTATATTAGTTTCAGGTGCACAGCACAGTGGTTATTAGACAATCATTTGATTCAATTCTCCTGTTGCTGCACATTCAGACCATGCTGTAATTTATCTGTGGACTCATCTGTATTCTCTTCCAGGCTGTGGAATTCTTGAGGACAGGGACTATTTACTATTCCTGGGATTCATTTCTATATGCCCAGGTCTCCCACACTGCCAGGTCCAGATAAACACATAGCAAATACATACATAGATGCACATTCATTCCATATCTGACACCTTACCTGCTCCTGAGGACGGACAACTACTGTATTAAAATCAGGCCACTTGTCCACCAGAGCCTTCAGCTTGAACAGGTTTCCCTGGTTCATGTGGAAGATGGTCCCATAAACCTGCAACATCACAAGAAAGTGGGAGGGTCAATGTACAGGGGTTGGTAAAAGTAAGTTTACGGTTGTTCATCTGTAAAAAGTCATACAGGTTATGACTATTACAATAGCTTTATTAACTCTGTTTCATGTACTCACAACTATAAACCCACTTTTCCCACCCCTGTATTAGGAAAGAATGTTAAAGTAACTTGGTTGATCAGGACAGGTTTATTTCTATGAACTCACGGAATTTTATCAGTGAAAGGTCTCTGAGTATTTCTGCCAAGCAATTTTAAGTTTTAGTGTTTTATCTCAATAAATGTATCTTTTAGAAATATAATCACATTGTAAAATATTCAGACTAGTAAAATTTATGAATAAAAATCATGAACTCTCCCATTGTAGAATTTAATACACATTTAATGTAATGTATATCAATTATATCTCAATTTTTTAAAAAAGAGAAAAAATCTTTTAATAGATTTTCTACTATTCATGCACATGCACAACAAATTTTGCAAAATTAAAAAAATCACATAGATGTGATATGATACATTCTAGTCATATTTCTTTTCCAATAAATAAAAATAATTTTAATGACTTCAGAGCATTCTATGACATGAACAAACCTTATTTTTTTAAAAACTTTTAATTTATTCACATGAAGTAGCAAAGAAAGTACAAAGAGGTTCCAGAATATATCTCCCTTGCACAGAGGTGATGTGAACTAAATGAGCTGTAGCATGAGTGAATTCCTGCCCAGCTGGCGTGGCTCCATGTTGACCTATGAACCAGGAGGTCATGGTTTGATTCCAGTTCAGGGCACATGCCCTGGTTGCCAGCTCAGTCCCTAGTAAGGGGCATGCAGGAGGCAGCTGATAATGACTCTCATCATTGATGTTTCTATCTCTCTCTCCCTCTCCCTTCCTCTCTGAAATTATATATATATATATTTTAAAAATAGATGCCTAATAACAGCTTATTCTCTTTCCTACTCTGTCACAGGAAGATGCCACCCTTTGTTTCCCTGAGATTGTTCCAGTCTCACCTTTAAGGACTCAGGGAGGCTCTTCCTCAAGGATTTTTCTAGCATCTGCAGCATTTGTGGGCCCTGCAAGTGAAGCATCTTGGCAGGTATTTTAGCCTAGAGGGAGGATCAACAAACAGCCAGGATGTAAAAATGCTGAACCCATAGGAACTAGATCCACACACCTTTACCTGAATCTTAGAAGGTAACAGATAAGTCTGCCCTCTTCTAAAGTAATGCCTTAGGGGAAGAAAAAGTAGAGTCACTCTAGATTTCAAGCCTTACTCGAAAGGAAACACAGCATAAAAGTTCCGAAGGAACTACCAGGGAGAAACAAGAGCAGCAGGTTCTATGCTAATGCCCACGACCTTCTTCAGTGCCCTCTATTGGTGTTACCCACACTGAAGTCCTCAGTAACGCCAAGGAAGGAGGAGGTTGGCAGGAAGCACCTGGTTCTCCTTCTGAAAATTTTCCCTTCACTTCTGACACTACTCTACATTTTCATTTAATACACATTTATTTTAACAAACATGTTACGTAAATATGCTAGTGAGTCTTTGGGGATCTGGTTGTAGTCAATGATTAGCCCAATGCCACCACTAGCAAACTCTGTAATCTTCAAAAAGTTACTTACCCTCTTGGTTCCGTAATTTACTCATTAATCCTAATGAAAACAGACTCTACCTAGAAAATTATTGCCTCTTTCCCATCTGCAAGATGGTGGGTGAAGAAGCTGAGAGGCAAG